AAATTTAAAAATTTAAAATTTTAAAATTAGTTACTTAGTTTAATTTTCAATTTTAATTGTATCGTTATAGTAGAGGACCATCCAATTGTCGTAAGTTCAAAGTTTTGCGATACATACGACAAATGTTTTATGATTAAAAAAAGATTACATTTGTATGGGAATTTGTCGTATGTGCCACATACGACAAACGTTTTATGATTAAAAAAAAGGTACGTTTGTATGGGAATTTGTCGTATGTGACGCATTTTCAGCACATACAACAAAAGGCATACCCAATCATTAATATTATGTAACATACGACAAAATGCGCACGAAATATCTCAAAAACTAATGGAGATATAAAAAAATGGATTGCAGAAATCGAAAGAGCATGTCCAACTTAGTAAATCTGCATCAAAATCCCAAAATCGTGATTTTGCACATTCGTCATCCGTTTTCTGAGGCGACGATATGTACGCATAATTTGCGGTAAATGCATGGTTTTGCATATTTTTCAAAAAATACCTGTTTTTTCACATTTATTGCGCATATTTTAGTATATTTTACAATAAATGCATATGGTTTTTGCATATCTTCGCTTTTTTTGATTTACAACCATTTAAATTTTCTGCGGAATCTCTTGACAAAAAAAAAATACCATATATTTTTCCAAAGACCCTTTCAGATACGTCAAGTCTTGATTTCAAGTCTGCTCGGTTCGTAGGCGAAGGAGGTGAGAAGAGAGGGGAAGAGCACATTAGTCTCACCTCCTTCGCCTACTTACTAACAGCACACTTAAAATCAAGACTTGACGTGTCTGAAAGGAGTAAAATATTCATCTGAATATCTTCCCGGATAGTCAAGCGGCCATTGAGGCCTCTGTTAGATCTCAACTAATGGAGAACTTATTTTCGATTTTTTAGTGCATGAGATTCCGAGTCCTACTTATTAGTTATAGCAGAACTTTTGTATAGTATGTATGTGTTTTAATAGATTAGCTTAAATAAACTTGTATTTGAACATTTTGGCCTGGGCCTATACATAAGTATACATTATGCATTTAATTTTTCTTATAGGAAATTATTCAGTTCATTTATGTTTCTTTCGGCAATCTTTGCGACAGTGCTGTCAATTTGGAAACCCATAGTTAACGCGTTTGTACTGATGGGTATGGGCGTGCCAACAATGCTAATGATGTATCGACAGTTACAAAGGTAAACATGCTTTTTATTTCATTAATCACACATACACTTCTTAGTGAATACAGTTGAAATCAATATTGGGAACACAATACGCAGAGGTACATTCTTACTCGTATATAAACCACGGTATCGGTATTATCTATAGCACCCCCATTTCGAAGTTACTTTTTTTTTAAGAATTTCAATTTTGGCGTGAGAGATTAATTGAATTGTATACTGCGAACAGAATACATCATTCAGGAACTCATTACGCTTCTGCTGTTAACTAAAAGAGAAATGCATAAGAACCAGAATCCTGGAAATTATACCAGAGATATTCCTATAGAGGATATTGCTAACGAAGCAGCCGACGTTATTCCGATATATGCATATGTGCATTAGGGTGGTCCAAAAAGAGTAAAGTCGGAACTTAAATGCTCTCACCCACTAGAATTGTTCTATATCGAAAATACTCCTATTTTTGTATTATGAAATCTAAAAATATTTAGAGGTCGCTCAAAGCGCTCAAAGTTTTCCTTGTATTTTATATGGGGAAAAAACAAATTTTCGTAGAAATGTCTTAAAATTCTTAAAAATAAATATTTTTCGATCGGAAAACTCAGGTTACCTTCAGAAGACTTTCACTAGTAATACCCAATTGTTTATTTAACCATTTTTTTATAGTTAGTTTAGTTAGTTAGTTGATGTTTCTTTATTCAATTGTGTACTTTACAAAGACATTACATAAGTAAGTGTATCTTAAGAGCTAAATACTGATTGCAAATTTTAAATACGTTATTCCATTTTTTAATACATACTAACCATTTTTTATTGGTCCCCCCATTTCTACGAAAAGTTGTTTTTTCCATATAAAATACATGGAAAGCTTTGACCTACAAATATTTTTTGATTTCAAAATAAAAATTTGATTATATTTCTTTTCGGTATAAAAGAATCCTAGGGGGTGAAAGCATAAAAATTCCGACTTTACTTACATGAATTTTTGGACTACCCTAGTGTACATACATGAGGGTGTCCCAGATCATAAGGGATGAGTTTTTTCTGCGAAATTCAATGCGCATACCCTCTAAACTTTTTCCTTTTGACCTAAATAACATACATATATGAGTATTTATTAGGGCGGGTCGATTAAAAAATCGCTCATTGTTCTGTGAAAATCGTATTCTAGGGATCAAAATAAGAAACTTTGCCGAAGGAACCATACCTCTAAAACGAATTCTGATGTCCCCCAATTTGGGTCGAACTTTTGGGTAGGGGCAAATTTTGAAAAATCCCACTTTGACCCATTTAGAGTGCTCCAATCGAGTCCAAATGTATGACCGACCCCCACTAACTTTGGACGGCCGATCCACCCATGCCAGTGGCACACCCCCTGGAACTTCCCTGGGGGGTTCCCCATACAATCATTTCAAAAAATCACCATTTTTGGCCTTTACATGAAAAAATCTGCTAAATGGCTATGTTTTTTCTTTATTTTTATTTATTTATTTATAATAATATTTATTATTTATTTATAATAATATCTATTTTTTCTCTTAAGAAATTTATTTAGTCAGAACATATGTAAATGAAAAAATTAATTTAAGTGAGTTATAGAAAAGAAACTAAAAAAAATTATTGTTTGAAGTCTTTTTTACTTTCAAGTCTGGGCAATTTCGCACGGCTCTCTAATGTCGTCGCCATAACAGCCTCTACATTTTCCGGTATAACCCGTTTGGAAACGCTAGCTAGCAATTGAACATGTCGTTCCGTTCCTTGTATGTGTGATGGAATTTTTGGATCATTAAACGGTGGATCATCTTGATTTAAATATTCTTACAATGTATCGTACGGAATGCTTCGCGTGAATGGTGGTTCAAATACGATATTTATATCATTCAAATTGATCATTTCCGTATAACTTGTGCAATTAAAGTTTATATCTGGTTTTTTATAAACTCTAAGTTCCATTGGCTCGTCAACATCGGTTCGATAGCGTAGAATTTTCTTGATGGCACAGTCGCGCTTTTCTTTGCTATCATCAAACAACATTGATAACATGATATTTTCCGAATGCGCATAATATGAATTATCTTTAATTACTTGATTGACAATTTTGCGTAAACGAGGCTCTAGAAATCGTGACCAACCAATGAACTTGAAAAATAATGCACTGCCGTACATGACAGAGCTGTAATACTTGATATTGAAGTACATTGGCACATAACATTTAATTATAAATTCAACCAGAATTCTTAAATTTGCATCTGGATTTTCCGTTGTCACATATAATCGCAATAATCTAGCGGCCTTGGTGAGCCACCGAGAATGTACAATTTTCCCTGGTTTGATGTTACCCAGATCCACCGGAACCACGCCGCTAGAAATTGCATGGGCCATGTCGTATAAGTACTTCGAATCGGTGGAAAATTCAATTTTTTCTGGAGCAGGGGGCATATTTTGCAACTCAATTTTCTGGAAGCCGTCCACCACCTGAAAATACATAATAATAAAATAATTAAAAATGGTTGACAATTATAATAAATGAGTGATAGCAATAACTTACCGGAAGAGTTTGACAAGTTTTCCGGTTGCCGATCTTGGTCCAGTGCTGGTTGATTTATCCAAAGCAATGGTCTTTTTAACAGCAATTCGAATCGTCGTATAATTCCACCGTGTGGGCCAGTGTTTGTTGGCTCACCGTCAGTGCATATTCCAATTAATGTATCCAGTGATATATTTTTATCGTTGAAAAAACCATTTAATTTGGTTGTTTTGTATTCAGCGGTTTCATGTTCCAGTCTTACGTAACCAATCAATTCAGAATTGGGTTCTCTCAAAATAACAAGATGAGGTTCTTTTACCATCCTAGTATGATACTTCTCATCAATTTTATCTATCGTTAAAGTATCATCTTTTCTGCCATCGAATGAAAACGCTAACAGATTGGTATCATCTAACCGTTTGCGAAGCACTTCTTGTCTGCATTTCTCTTTTTCTCTGCGAACTTTCGATTTATCCATGATGAGAGGTTTCCCATGCTTATCTTTACTTTTAAAATCTTGCAAAATAGCGGTTCCCAATGCTGATGCTACTCTGTCAGGCACACCAAATCTGTCACATACCAAGGCAAAGTTAAAACAATCGTATCTCTCTGTGTATTGTGAACTTGTGCTTCTATCCATATCTTCTTGAACCGGTGGCGGTGCGTATGTTGAATCATCGGGATCTTGGTATGTTGGCATTGATGACATAGACGTTGCTCCTTGCTCTTCAGTTTCCATCACAAATGCATCCATTGTTAGTCTTCTCTGATTATGTTGATCGTGCATGAACTCTTTGAGGCGTTCGGGAACCCAGCCGCATGCACATGGAGCTGCCTTCAAATCGCATTTACATGTTCCAATGTAAAAAATTGTTTCCAGAGATTTTACATACTCTGTAAATTGTTGGGTGTTGTTTCTTCTCTTGATTTGCTCTTGATACTTGTCAAGCAATTTATTCAATTTATTAAATACACTTTTTTTCAGCATTATTTCCATACCAAGTTTTTCCCAAATTCCAATCAACTTATCTTGTACTTGAATAGTGAATGATTTATGGGAAAACTTTTTTTGTTCTGTTTTAACACGTTCGCTTAAGTAAAAATAATATCTCAAGATATCCAGATGGGTTGGTAAATTAAGATCAGTTAAATCAGTAGACACACCAAAAACAGTAACATCATGCTTGGGTATATGACTCATTGGGTTTTCGATAGTTGTTGATGTAGTTGCTTCATCTTGCGGTGTAGAGGATGGTGGATTCATTGTAAACTTTTTGATTTGGAATGGTCACTTCACTTATTATTTTTTTTGAAATATTTTTTTTATCTGAAATTAGCACTTCACACTTTGAGTTCTTCACAACGACTTAATGCATTCACAAAAACTGTTGCGTTATATATGGTCTACGAGACGAGGTAATAAGAATGAAATGGTAATTTCAATTCTACCTGCTGTGTCTTGTGGTGGCTTAAAAAAACAACACAAGCAATTTTACGATCTGCAATTGTGTCACAGTGATACCTTCATTGTTTAAAAGGGTTGCAGTGCATTCCAGTGATACCTTAATTGTTAAAATGGTTGCAAAAAACGCGCATTTCTTAAGAAGGTGCCTTAAAATACCCACAAAAAGGGTTGTAAAAACAACCTTCATTTCTTAAGTAGGTGCTATAAAAAAACTACACAAGTAAGTTTACGACATGCAGCTGTGTCTTAAAAAACGCACACAAGCAATTTTCCGATTTGCAATTGTGTTACAGTGATACCTTCATTTTTTAAAACGGTTGAATAAAAAACCCACACAACTATGTTTACGACATGCAAATGCATCACAGTGATGCCTTGGTTTTAAAAGGGTTGTTAAAACGCTAATTTCTAATAATTTTTTTTAATTTCTTTTCTATTACTAAGTTAAATTCATTTTTTCATTTACATATGTTCTGACTAAATAAATTTCTAAAGAGAAAAATAAACTCCAAAAAGAAAAAAACATAGGCATTTCGCTGATTTTTTCATGTAAAGTGCAAAACCGGCGATTTTTTGAAACGTTTGTATGGTGAACCCCCAGGGGGGTTCCAGGGGGTGTGCCACTGGCATCGGTGGGTCGGGCCTCCAAAGTTAGTGGGGGTCGGTCATACATTTGGACTCGATTGGAGCACTCTAAAAGGGTCAAAGTGGGATTTTTCAAAATTTGCCCCTACCCAAAAGTTCGACCCAAATTGGGGGACATTTCGATTCGCTTTAATTTTTTTTGTTGATTCTATACATGAAATAAGCTAACACGTACTCGAGGAAATTTTTTATTTTTTTTTTCTTCGGAGATATGATCTGTCAAAGTTTAGATTTTTTCGTGATTCTGACTAATCATGTATGTCGGGTTCTGCTCATCGTAGATACTTTATATTTACGTCGTTCTAAAGTTAAGAAACTAGCTTAACATTTCTATGTATAAGATGGTCATGCTTGACCTAAAGATAACTTAGCTATTAA